AAAGCAGGACCTATGCAACAAGAGTTGTAGCTTTTTGGTCTGAGAAGGTCAGTGAAATGCCCTCAGGATTTATCCTGAGATCCTGTACCTCAGATTGAAGAACCTTTGTCAGTGTCAGCCATGTGGATGAGTCACGGCCATTGATATCACATCCTTTTTTTATCCATCCCTTTATTGATGGATATTTGTGTTGTTTCCAAGAGTTAGCTATTATAAATTATGCTGGTGTAACATGGGCCCACATACATCACTGTGGCACATTGTTTTTCATTCTTCTGGGAAGATACCTAGGAGGGGAATAGCTGGGTCAGGCAGGACCCCCAATCCTAGTTTATTGAGGACTCATCACACTGATTTCCACAGTGGTTGCGCAGGTTTTACTCCCACCAACAGTGGAGAAGTGTTCTTTTTCCCCACAGTCCCTCCAGTATGTTATGGATGACTGCTTGAGAATAGCCATTTTTTTCTAGGGTGAGATGGAATTGCAGTGTTGTTTTAGTCTGCATTTTTTGTGATGTTGAACATTTTTTCATATATTTATATCTGTTTCTGTTTCTTCATCTGAGAAGTGTATATTCATTTCAGGTGGCCACTGTTGGATTGAGTCTTTAAATTGGGGAGGCTTGATGTTTTGAGTACTTTATATGTTCTCAATAGCACTCCTTTGAGGAACAAATGGCAAACATTTTTCCCACACTGTGTGTTGTCTCTTCACTCTGATGGTGGTTTCTCTTGCTGTAAAAAGCTTTTCAATATACTAAGATGAGATCCAGGTGTTCTTTGTGACAGTTCCTGTGTGATTGGGGTTTTATTCATAAAGTCTTTTCCTATACCAATGTCTTCAAGAGTTTTATCTATTCTATCTTCCAGCAGATTTAATGTTTCTGTTTTGATACTTAGATTTTGGATGCATTTCAAATTTAATTTAGTGCATGGTGAAAGATATGGGTCCAGTTTTAATCTTTGGAGTGTACAGAGCCAGATTTTTTCAGCACCATTTATTAAAGAGGCTGTCTTTTTTTTTTTTTTTTTCCAGTGAATGTGTTTGGCCCCTTTGTCAAAGATAAGGTGGCTGAGGATGTTTGGAATTGTTTCTGCACCTTCTATTTTGTTCCAATGATCTTTGGGTCTTTTTTTTTTTTTTTTTTTTTTGGTGCGGAACCTGGTTAGTTTTTTTAAAAAAGGTCAGTGTGTTTGGAGATGTTTCTGCAACTTTTAATCTGTTCCACTGATCTTTTTTTTTTTTTTTTGCTAGTACCATACTATTTTTATTGCAGTAGCTTTATATTATAATTTCAAGTCAGAGATTATGATGCCCCCTGCCTTACTTTTGTGGTCCAGAATTGCCTTTGCTATTGTAGGTCTCTTCTGGTTCCAAATGAATTTTAGGATTGTTTTCTCTAATTCTGTGTGATATGCTTTTGGAATTTTGATCAGAATTTCATTAAATTTTGTAATAGTTTTGGAAATATGGCCACTTTCACTATATTGGTTCTTCCTATCCAAGAGCAAGGGGATTGAATTCAGGACCTTGCACTTTCCAGGCAGGTGCTTATGCTGCTGAGCTGTATCTCCGGCCCCTATCTTTCCCTTTCTTGGTATCCTCTTCAATTTCACTTTCCAGAGTGCTTTAGTTTTCAATATAGCGGTCTTTTACATTCTTCCTCGGACTGATTCCTAGACATTTCATTTTTTGGATGCTATTTTGAAAAGTGTTTCCCTAATTTGTCTCTCGGTGAATTTTTTATTCATGTACAGGAGGGCTACTGATTTTTGAGTGTTGACATTGTATCCAGGTATGTTACTGAATTTGTTTATTAAGTTTAGCAGTTTTGGGGCTGGGGAGATGGCTCAGTGGAATAAGTGCTTCCCTGGCAAGCGCAAGGGCCTGAGTTCAATCCCCAGTTCCGCTAAATAAATAAATAAATAAATAAATAAATAAATAAATTTAGCAGTTTTTGGTGTTTTCTATGTAGAGTATTATGCCATCTGCAAACAATAATTTCATGTCTGCTTTTCCCATTGTTATTCCTTTTATTTCTTTCTCTTGTCTAATTTCTCTGGCTAATGTTTCCAGGGGAATAAGAGTGGGGACAGTGGAGGTCTTTGTCTTGTTCCTGATTTTAGAGTGGAAACTTTCAGTTTTTGTCCATTTAGTATGATATTGGCTGTTGGTTTGTCAGAGATGGCTTTTTATCAGATCGAGATAAAGACCACCTATTCTACTCTCTGTATGGTTTTTATCATGAATGGGGGCTACACTTTGTCAGAAGCTTTTTCTACTTCTATTGAGATGATCATATGATTTTGTCCTTGGCTCAGTGGTGCATTGCATTTATTGATTTACATATTTTGAACCATCCCTGGGATGCATTCCACTTAGTTATGGTGTATAATCTTCTTGATGATTTGCTGCATCCTGTTTGCCAGTGTTTTATTGAGGATTTTTGCATCTGTGTTCATTGTGGAAATTAACCTGTAGTTCTCTTTCTTTTTTTTTTTTAAATTGGACACATACCTTTATTTATTTGTTTTGTGTGTGGCCAGCTCAGCCCACCAGGGGGCAGGCAGGCTGGCATGTGGTGCTGGGGGATTGAACCGAGGTCCCTGTGCTTTGCTTGGCTTAGCTTGTTCTAAGTAGGTGCTTTAGACCACTGAGCCATCTCACCAGCCCCAGTTCTCTTTCTTAGTTAGTTCTTTCTCTGGTTTTGGAATGAGGGTAATGCTTGCTTCCAGGAATGAATTTGTGAGGATTGCTACTCTTTCAATTTCACTAAAGATTTTGAACAATAGTGGTGTTAAGTCTTCTAAATTTCTTGCAGAATTCAGCAGTGAATCTGTCAGGGCCTGGACTTTTCTTTGTTGGTAGGTTTTTAATTACATATTTGATTTCATTGGTTTTGGTTGATTTAGGAATTTTATATCTTCTTGATTCAGCTTTGGTAATTCATATGTATCTAGGAATCTGTCTATTTCTTCTTCATTTTCCACCTTATTAGAATACTCTTTCAAATGGGTTCAGATGATCTGGATTTCTGTAGGGCCTATTGGGATTTCACCCTTGTCATTCCTAATTGTGTGGATTTGAGTGTTTCCTTTTTCTGATAAGATTGGATAAAGGTCTGTTGATTTTATTTATTTATTTGTTTGTTTAATTTAAAAATTTTTTTTGTATTTTAGGAAGGGTCTACAGGGTGTTCAGGGTCTCACTACTAGATCGGAGTCATAGTGATCTGCCTGTTCACAGCCTCCCAAGAGCTGGGATTACAGGTGTGCGCCACCACGCCCAGTCTCTGTTGATTTTATTTATGATAATAAACTTGTCTCTTCCCTTTGTTCATTAGGGATGGAGCCCATAGAAGTGCCTCTCGAGGAAGACAGTGAACAGCTTCAGATTTGCCAAAGCAAAGTCTGTACAGACAGGTAAGACTCTGAGGTAGGTGACAGTCCTGGCCATAATGGGCTTGGTGGCACATTATAGGGGAAGAAAGCACGGCCCTGCACGAGCTGTCCGTGGCCCCGCTCCTCATACTGTGGGCAACATAGTCCTTGCTAACCATGTGGGCTCCTTGGTGTTCTTTGTACCTCCCAACACACACCCTTCTCAAGGCTTTGTGCTTGCTGTTCCCACTACCTGGAATGCTCTTCCCTATTCTCACTCACAGCGTTCAGTTCTTCCCTTTCACTTGTCTCCTCTCCTTCAGGTCTCTGCCCTACAGTCCTCTTCTCAGTGGATCCCATGACCACCCCAGAAGCTGGCCCCTCTCTCTCCATTTGTCTGACTGTATTCACGTCCTTCCAGTTTATTGTTCCTAGTATATTCTATTTGTTTATTTATTTTCAGCTCTCCCCAGAATTCCTGTGTTCTCCCTGCAGAGCCTGGAACAGAGCTGGGTGCAGAGTATGGAGTGAGAGCTCAAAGTGAATCAGGGGGAACAGTTTAGAGGCCGCTGCAGCAGCTCAGAGGAGCCCTATGGTGAGGGAAGAGACCGAGTTCTTATTTGGTAAAGCCTGGCATGTGGATGTTCAGTAGCTGGAAGGGGTAGGGTCTAAGTGGGAAGCCTGCCTAAACGCCTGAGTTGGCAACATGGGTGAAAGGAGGCGGATGCTTAGACCAGAGTCAGAGAGAATCAGGTAGGCCTCAGATGTATAGTCTGAAAATACCCCACCTAAACTGGCTGCTGGATGGATGAGGCTGACAGGTGCATCAAAGCATCCCTCAGGTTACTAAAGTGGAGCATTCAGTGGCAGCCCATAAGTGACATCCTAGAGAGCTGTGCAGTATTACCTAGCATGCATGGTCGATGATAAATTATCTGCCCAAATCTAGGAAATGTGAAATGGGGTTGAATGTAATGGCTTTTTTAGTTTATGGTTCAATGGCACATGGTAATCATTCTGTTACTGAGTACATCAAGTGTCCATGTTCTTTGTATTCTAAATCTGACCTGCACCTGAAATTGTGGAATAGCAGAGTTTATCATCATGGGAAACCTGTCACATCTAGTACCAACTGAATTCCCTCCAATGCTACAGCAGCTACCTTATTTCTATGTACCAAAAAGGTTTAAAGATAGAAATTGTCATTAGTTACTGCAGTGAAGTCGGTAGTGGGTAGGGTGCATTTGGTTGTTGATGTTACTCCACGTATCAAATGCGTTTCCATTTCTATCTCCGCTGCTGTGAACATACACAATCTTATACCTTATACTCAGACATTACAGCTATATCCAAATTGGATCTGGTGATGGATGCCCCTGGGCAGAGGATCCCTCTGGGGCTCTGAAGGGCTACACCCCCACAAAAGGGTGTGAAGATGCTGGTAATGACTGGGCCAACACAACTGAAGGTCACAGGCACTGATTTCCAACCTGAAGGCTGAGAACTGAGCACATACTCTAGATTTTTGCAGGCACTGTCACCAACTTAACTGTTTTTGCCAGTTTAAACATTACTTGCAGCACATTTTCCATAAGGGCAATGAATTTGGGGCAACGTTTTTGTCACATGGCTACTACTCACCTTCCAATAGAAGTGTAGCCCTTGAGGGAGACCAGCAGTTATTTATCTGGCTCAGCAGCAGTTGTTCTTTCCCCTTTGCTGTACCTGGGAGCAATGCCGTCTTCTGGTTAATAAAGCTTTTCTGATGGCTAGGGCCCAGTGTATTTCTGCTCGGAGCCATGGGTGCTCAGTGTAACAGACATGAAAGGGTTAAGTGTCTCAAAGTCCAGCAGAGAGAACACAAAGGAGTCCTGTTTCTTTCCTCTGCAAGAACAGGAAGATAATTATATTTTCCAGTAAAAATTAAAGATCAGGGGCTGGAGAGATGGCTCAGTGGTCTAAAGCACCTACTTGGAACAAACTAAGCTAAGCACAGCACAGGGACCGCGGTTCGATCCCCCAGCACCACATGCCAGCCAGCCACGCCCCCTGGTGGGCTGAGCTGGCCACCCCCCTACACACAATAAATAAATGTTAAAAAAAAAATTAAAAAAAAATTAAAAATTAAAGATCAAATAGGTTATCAATAATATTTTCTTGTAATCTCAAGATAAGATATTAGCAATTTGGCATCATAAATAAGTGATGTACATTTTGAAACATTCTAGAGTATTCTCAGGTTTTAGAACATTGGATCAATAAGTGTACTTACTCTGGTACCTTGTAGGCACTGTTCATTTTGTAAACCAAACACATCAGCCACATGATCTGGCTGTGCGGGAAAATGTTTTAGTCAGGTTCAGTATGAGAACCAGGACACATTTCAAAGTCTTCTTCAAGCAAAATGCCTTTAGGGAACATCTCAAATTCTAAGCTTTGTGCTTCTTAGTATAAATAATTAATATAAAAATGATCATAAGGGGGAATTTCTATCGTGTTCAATCTGGTCTGAAAGCTTCTTCATGCCACACAGGGTAGTCTTCCCATGCCTTGATCTCCTGGCAGCCCCCAAACCACCTGCTGCTTCCAGCTGCCTTCTCCCTGGGAACTCGGGCATATTTTATTTTAATCTGCCTTTTTGTGTTGTAGATAATTATTTTTAAAATACTACATGAAAGTTCACCTTTTTTGTTTCCTTTTCTTTATTCCGTCCTTCCTCCTTTTCTCCTCCCTCTCTCCCTTCTTCCTTCTCCCTTTCTCTCCCCACCCCCAGGGTAAATACATATGATTGTGGAGAAAAGATTTCAAGCTGGTTGTCAAAGTTTTTGGGCCGTCCCTGTCATTTAATCAAACAAAGTTCAAACTTTCAACGAAATGCAAAGAAGAAACCCGGAAAAGGTATCATTACATTTGGGATGCCTTCTCAGAGGGCAGGAACCGTGGTTTACTCTACACATCCAAAACAGGGGGACTTGCTCATGTGCAGAGTGCAGGGCAAGTCATCATTCAGCAAGAATCTTCCTGGCGTAGCCCTGGGTCAGTGAGACTAGTGGGTCCCATGGTCCCCTACGTAGGGAGGCCAAGGAGAATGTCACACTAGCTGCCTCCCCTCTACTCAGGGATCAGCCCAGTCCCATGGGCTTAGGAGCACATTCAGCTTTGTTAAATAAAAACATTAAAGCTTTAGTGTCCTCAGCTTAACAAGAAAACCTGGGCCTCTAATTTTTAGCTGTGTTAACAAGCAGAAATGGAATTTTGGCAAATCCTAGAATCTCTTGTGTCTCAACTCTGTGGACCTTAACTTTCTAAGAGTTGAGACATCTTTTTCCCATCATGAGCCACTGTTAGGATGCAGGGAGATGGTGGAGAAGCTGAGAAGGAGGGATGAATGAAAGGCCAGTATCTTATCTTGTCGCTGCAAGAACCTTGGGAGTATTCTAAGCCCAGGAGTCTGGTGATATCACTTGTGTGTGAAAGACACTCCTGGCTTGGTGGGGCAGCTGCCTCAGACAGGAGGCCTGGGTAGCAAAGAGGCTGGGAGGGGCCTAGCAGGAGATCAGAGCCTGGGAGAGGCCAGGTGGTGGGCGCAGAGAGGAAAAGCTATCACCCACATGTTGCAGGAGAAGCATACCACTAATGGCGCAGGGTGCTCTGGGTCTGTGCTGGATAGCAAACATTTTTGTGTTGGTGTTTGTTGAATAATTTTTTAAAATTACATTTTCTCCTTATATATATTTATTTTATCTCCATTTTAAGCATGTTTTAAACATTTGCAAAAGGTGTGATTGTTTCAGCACCTTGTAGACATTGTCCAACAGGGGCTCTTTTCAGTAGAGCCAGTGCAATCTCAGCACCACAGTGACTTTCATGAGTATTAATTTAAACTAATGTATAAATCAGCAGCACAATTGTGCAGGCTATCTTGTGTTGTACTGCTGATTTCTACTGGCCTATTGAAAGGAACAGTTAATGCTTAATTTTTTTCTTCCTTTTAATTGTTTTGACTAATTTTGCATGCTTATATCTAATAATCTGGACAACTAATTTGAAGGCAACAATATGCAACATGACAACCATTGTTGAATTCCTGTCATCTTCTTTATTGAAATTTTGTATCGTTTTTAAATTTTAAGTTATTTTTTTATCCTCTTTAAAAACAAAATCATGGAAAACTAAAACCAAAAAAAAAAAAAAAAAGGAATATATTTGGTAATCTGAACAATTTGAAGACAATATATGCAATATAGCAACCATTGTTGAATTTCTACCATCTTGTTTAGTGAAATTCTGTATCATTTCTAATTTCTAATTCTCTTTATTTTTTAATTTTTATTTTATTTATTTGTGTGTGTGTGTGTGTGTGTGTGTGTGTGGCCAGCTCAGCCCACCAGGGGGCGGGGCTGGCTGGCATGTGGTGCTGGGGGATTGAACCGTGGTCCCTGTACTTTGCTAAGCTTGTTCTAAGTAGGTGCTTTAGACCACTGAGCCATCTCACCAGCCCTCTAATTCTCTTTAAAAAATAAATAAAATCATGGAAAAATAAAACCAAAAAATGAGAATATATATATATATATATATAGTCTTTTAGTCATCAGAAGTTTTCTTTCACTTTCCTTCTTTCCTTCCTTTTTTTCTACTTCCTCAACAGAATTTTACCTTAATGTTATGTATTGTCTGCTCAGAAATGTTTCATTGATTCCTCTCTCTAAAACTAAAACATAAATTGAAATGTCTAAAAAACTCTTTAAGCTTGATGAGATTCTAGGAGTCTAGGTGTTAGGAGTTCTCTGGGTTGAGCTTTTAACAGTCTGAAGTTGAGCACAACCTAAGTATATTTTAAAAAATAATTATTAAACATAAAGAGCAAAAATTGTTGAAGGTGAAGCTCTTATGGAACCAGCAGGGCACCCTGTGGTTGGCTCCTGATGGGTGAACGATGTCACCTAGGGCAGCAGCTCTCTCTTCTGACAAACCTTGCTTAAGTAATAAAGAGCTGGGGAAGGGAGGAATTGGCTAACACTGTCACTTAAGCCTTCTGAGGTCCTTGACCGAAGCACAGCGATCTAACATTAAAATGCCTTTAATCATCTGTCCCCTGACAACTTAATTAGGTTCTGCAAGTTTTGTGGCTAGTAAAGAATTGGAATCCATCTGACCTATAGGAGGATCATTCACCCCAGCTTTGGAGACTTTATTTTCTCAGTCCCAGCTCCAAGATTTTGAATGAGGCTTTTGTTTGCCCACTCTGGAGATTTTCAGTTTGGCCCTCAGGGCCAGAGTGCCTTAGGAGACCCGTGGCCTCCCCTCTGTGAAGCCCAAGAAGGGCTTTTGTGGAGGGTGCACCTCCTCTCTCTGACAGAGTTCTTTTAGCAAAGAGGATAGAAGCAAGGGGACACCTGACATTCTTGTATACTCCGGGTCCCTGTCCTAGGTTGGAGGTGGCTTATAGGTCCTGGCCCAGCCAACCCTTTTTACCAAAGCTTGAATAATGCTAATGAGGCAGGCCCATCAAACAAAGCCAGGCTGCCAGCAATTCTGACTGGCTTTGACATTTTCTTTCAATAGTTTTATCTTTTTCCTTTCAGTAGTTTTAAATCTTCTACCACTTATTTCAAAGTCAGTCTCTTTTCCCTAATTAGAATCAGAAGCTCCTAATGGGCCCACTGCCTGGTCAAGCTCCTCTCCCTTGTCCTGTCTGGGGGGAGGGTGGCTCCAGTCCTCCCCTGATCTCTCCTAAGAATCACCACGACTCCCTTGGTGGAACAATGCCACACCAGCATTTTATCATTGCTATTTTCTCCAGACAACTTGACATTCTTTTGGGGTTTTGCGGAGGTTTAAGCCCTGCTTAGAGCATTATCCTTTTGTCAGCGCTCACCCCATGTGGTAGAAACAGCACATGTCTCTTGAAAATGTAAGTCTATGGAAATGAAGCTTCATTAGCGTTCCAGAAAAGCAACTCTTCAATACTCCCTTCATTTTTAGAACAGTCTACTGGCCTAACAGCCACCCTTTCCTTGGTGAATGAGGCACAGTACCTGCTGATAAACACATCCAGCATTCTGGAACTTCATCAGCACTTGAACACCAGGTAAGATGTCTTCCAGTCATCAGGCTGGTGGAAACACCTGGCCCTGGGAGCAAGGTCTGACCCCCCCCCCCCGGGAGGGAGGGGCTGAGAGACAGAGAATCCAGACCTTTCATTCACAGATGAGAAACATCTGAGAAAAAGTCAGCAAGTAGTTTTTGCCAATTCCCATTCATCTTTCCAGGGCTTCTCATCTGTCTTCAGTGTTAGACTTCTGTTATTGTAACAAATTTTCCTGAGATAGTCAATTTATAGCGCTTAAGTAGGTTCAGAGATTTCAGCCCATGGTCACCTGGCTGTGTTGCTTTGGACCTGTGGTAGCACATCGTGGTGTGGGAAACCCTACCTATCTCAGAGCAGGGTGGGAAAAACAGGAGGAGATGAGAGCCCCACAGTCCCATTTGAGAGCATACCCCTAATAACCCAAAAGCTGCTCATGAGGTGCCACCTCTTAAAGTTTCTGCTACTTCCAGTAATGCCACACTGGGGACTGAGTTTTTACTGCATAGACCCGTGGGATACACTAAAGATCTAAACTACAGTATTTTCAGTGCTACCCGACACCTCCAAGGCTCCCAGGGAGAACCTTTAGCTCTCATTTATTAATCATTCTGTTTCTTTTTTTAAATTTTTTTTTACATTTATTTATTGTGTGTGTGTGTGTGTGTGTGTGTGTGTGTGTGGCCAGCTCAGCC